CAAGAATGAGAATATCCAGCTTGAAAAGACTGATATAAATGAACTATTACCTCTTTTAGCTTGTAACCCATCCATCAGACATTATGATTCCTCCACCCAGCTATTACCTCACCCATGAATTTTTTCTTATTTTTTGTCAGTAAGAACCCCCTGATCTGTGTCTTTCCTCAGGACATTACATGAGTTTCTACTCAACTCTGGGTTCTCTGGGTTGCAATTTTTTGCTATTTCTAAATAAACATTTCAGTTTGCCGGTAAGATTGTTGTTAACACTAATGACGCATATGATATAGATACTTTCAGCAAAGTTGTTGTCTACCATAATAGCTCTGAAGTTTAAATAACCATGAAGTATCTTCCATGTTCTTTAGTACACATTAGGAGGCTGGAATTTAGAACAGAACTCTCAACACAGGCAAGGAAATCTTACTCAGCCCCTTTCTGACCACATACGCGTAGGGATGACTATTAAATATCCTGTGCCTCTTGTTTTGTTGTTTATTTTAATCAAATGAAGAGACATCAAATTTCTATTATAGAATTTTTCCAAATATTGGATATATTGATGTGATCCTTAAATGATAAATATTTCTAAAAATAGTAATGATGAAACATTTTTACGCTGAAGAGTAAGATAGTCTGTGTTTGACCCATTAATGACTTACTTGTATGAAATATTTTTGACATTTGTACTTATTTATGTAGGAGAATAGCCATGAAAATAGAAAATAAACTCAGAAAGTAGAGGTGGCTTTCCTGAGTATGAGAAAGAAAATAGATAAAAGTGAGTTGGTCTGTGGTGTATAGCAAATGGTAAAGTTGGTGCTGATTTTGATGTTTATTGGGGAGAAATTTCTATTAGATTTCATTTTGTGTGGAAAATTGGACCCTGCTACAAACTCTATAGTATTCCATGCTCCAGACAGGCTTACAGACCTCTCCATCTGTCAAATATCATGCTCTTTGGTTTGGAACATATTCCTTAGTTTGGAGCATTATGTTTGAACAGATGGAGTGGCCTGTTTGTAGATAAAATTAACAATGCATTTCTGTATATATTAGTTCATTCTAGTTTTCATAATTTTTTTCCCTGTGGTATTTAAAACCCAAATTATGTGTGTTGTCTGAAAGACAGAGTATGAAAATGCTGAGCTTAAACAACTTAAAATAACTCTGCTGGAATTGTGGTCAATATTAAAGGTTTTGAAAAATTACTTGATGTTTAGAGGAAATATTTTGAATATATTTAAAAATATTAAAAGTCAAAATTCTCCAGTCTTTAAAATATTCTAAATTTGTAAAACTGTTTAAATTAGAATTATACTATCATATGACCAGTATGTTTTGAGCTTTATATTAAAATAATATTCTTAGATATTATAAACTATCAAGGCTTTAAGAAAGAGAGAATATAAGGATTTTAATGGACAGTAGAAATATGACATCAGGATATTTTAAAAATGGAAATTATCTCTTCCCATGACAAATGTACAAAAAGCTAGATCTCTAATTACGTGTTGCTTGAAATTGTCTTCATATTTTCTTTTGGATTCATAAAATAGATATGTATAAATATATTTAAGATATAAATATTGGCAATAAATTCCAAATATTTTGTTACTCTGATTTATTTTAGAGATAATATTATATGTGTGTATATACTATAGAATAGAAAAATAACAAAAAAAAATTAAAAAAATCACCTACTGTTTCTATTTTCTATTTCCATTCTAACCCTTTAACATTTTGAGGACTTCTGTTGTATAACATGACAAATATTTTGGTATAATTATGTTTTCTTCCACTCATTTTATATTTGCAACATAAATATTCATCATGACTATTTGATTTCACATTTACTTAATTCTTTGCATGGTTTTTGAACTTCTATTGTTAAATTTCAACCACCCCATGTAAAGTTTTTCATTGTTTTTGGGGTGTGTATAAAATTTACAGCAAATTGTTGACCTATCATACTATTGCTATTTCTAGTCTAGAAGCAAAACATCTTTTCCACTTTTAATGTTTTCTTTGTTTTAAAATTATTTTTATTAGTTTTTTGGAGATGTTCAAATAATCATATCATGTATAAATAATACCTTCATGTAGGTATTTGCATTTGCTATATTTTCCACTCAAATGATTCAAATTTTCCTAAAAATTTCCAAAAAGGTTAAATAGCAACTGTTACAATAAAATTTTTTATGGCTTTATTGGGAATTACTCTAATATGAGATATATAGTTATAGCTACAGTAACAGTAGTTATAGTAATAGTCCTATAATTCGTAAGTTGACAGAAACTGGCTAAATTATTTTCTGAAATCTATTTATTTTTTTCTAAATTAAATTCATGTTTTTTTTTATTCATACTAGTTTATTCTGACCCAAATTTTATATTCTTTAAGGAAATAAATTATCAACAGTTCTTTTCATTAATATCAGAAAAAAATCGATCATTTGTTACTAGAAAAAAGAACCCTTAAATTATAATCTATTGAAAGATCAATAATGATACCTTATATAAAGCAATTGCTGAAAAAGATTTCTGTAAATCCATTACCTTTAGTTGTTAAATTTAAAAAATTAAAATATGCAATGTCTTTTCTGCCTTCAAAACATTAAACATAGATTTATTAAGTTGTTAGCAAACCATAGACTGGCATAACTAATTGAATTTTCTAGATGATGGTGGGTCACTGTTTTATATATTCTTTTAATTGTGATAGTAGGATTCTCTCCATCATGTCGCACCACCTCATGTAGCACCCACCACCAAATTACCCATAATCCACCAACATAGTCCATGGTGCTTCCTTTCCTCATAGTTACTATGCCTCCCTCACACTTCCGCACTTTGCATGCTTCAGTTTTATAGTCAGTTTTCCAGAGATTAGCTTTTAAGGTTGTCTTTATCGGTTCTTACTTTGGTTTCTCTACATTTCACTTATTAGGAACAACATCCAGTGTTTATCTTTTTTCCCTTTGACTTATTTCACTTAGCATTATCTCTTCCAACTTCATCTATGTTGCCACGATGGCATTAGTTTATCTTTTTTGATTGCTGATTAGTCTACATTCTTTTTGTCTTGGTCAACTGTAAGACTATGTTTTCCAGGCTCCTCATATTAAACAGAGTTGTGAAAATACCTGTCACATTAAGTGCACTTGTGTATATGGCCTAGAGCTAATGTTCATAAAACATGATGTGTCTCTATGTCTTTATCACACACTCTCATTGCTTCCTCTTTTCAGCTGCATGCAGGGGATCTAATTGAGGGCTGGATAGAACATCCTGAATAGAAGAAGACTTGATTCCTACAATGATTTGTGGGGCTGAGGTGTTTCTTGTTTTAAGCAACAGATATTTGGGAATTATTTGTTAAAATAGATTTAATACCCTGACATTTATACTCCTGAGGAATAAAAGTAATGAGGAATCGGTGTGATATAGATTTTTTGGGTTGCTTTCTTGAGATTGTATTGCAAGTATTGTTTAAAATGAAACATGATGAGTTAATAGGTTTACTATCCCTGAACAACATTGATACTAGAATATTTCTACTTAACATGGTGTCTTATTATTTTTAGCTAAGCGGAATTCATGCAGTAATATTTTTAAAATATTTTCATATATATAAATTAATAGGTACTTTATAATATGTTTATAAAATATTAATAAGGAAATTGTATGGAATGATTCAATGATAGAAATCAGCTACTGAGTCTAATTATACATTTATTTGATTCTTTCTATTACAGTGTTACATAGTTACAAATGTTTATTTAACCATTTATATTTACAGTATCAGCTTTTAGAAAAGATATAAAGCATAATTATTTGGATAATAGACACTTGTTATTTGGAATAAACAATACATTAGTGATACATTAAAGATCATAAGCATTCAAGAAATGATTCATAGATCAAATATTAAGTTAGTACACATAAGTTCTTAGCAGACATAATACCTAATTCTACTACAGCCAAAGCTTTTGTAATGATAACAATAATTCAATATTTAAAGAAACAGCAATTCAGTGTTTGGCATGAGTCTTGTTACTGATCTGAGAATTATATATGGAATTTTTTGGTTTGTAGCTTCCTAAATATTCTAGAGCTTAAACTTAACATCTACGTGAAAATGGCATCACTAGCATGGACACTGACTAAAATTTATTGTGCTATATTAGCATATCCCTAATTCTATATTAGCAATAATATTTGATAGCTACAGTAAAATCTTTAAATAGATCAATTAATTTTTACTATTCAATTAATATACAGTAATTTACAAAGATTTTCTATTTGAAAAAACTATACCCATGCCTTCTTTTACACATAAAAAATAAATATCTCTAGTGGATGTCAGATATCATTATTTTTATTTAAAAATAATTAGCATATTAATACATTTCTACCAAATGACAGTTAATAAAATATATAATAGTTTACATTCATACCATCAACCCAAATATCAATTACCTCAATGTCTTTCGTATTTTACTTTATTTTTTTAATGTTTATTTATTTATGTATACAAGAGCTGGAGTATAGGCCAGAGATGTGGGGGTGAGAGGATTCACCAGAGACAGAGTGGGGAAAAGAACAGGCAGACTGACTGAAACACACTGATAGGGGAGCAGTGGGTGAGACAGGAGAGATCTGCTTCACCATGTGGGTTTCTCCCTGACTGGCTGGGATTGAACTCATGCTGCAGTGGCTGCGGATAGCTTCATAGTATGGTGCTTAACCCCTTGCGCCACCAGGGAGGCCCAATATTTTAAACTAATATTTAATCCTTAGATTTCCTATGCTTTGAAATAGCATCAGACTAAAGTAAGTTGTTTTTTACATTTTCTTGAATGGCAGCCATTACAAATCAGATATGAATTTCTTATTACCATTTACGTGGAATGTCAGTCTGTCACTGTACTCAGGGACCTCTCAAAACATTATATGTGTAGACCAAAGAAATGACAAATACCCCAATGGAATACCTGCATCCACTTTTAAAAACTTGGCATCAAAGACAATTTCAGAAGCAAGAGCAGAAGCAAATTTAAACTGTTTGCCAAGCGTCCATCATTTCTGCTTTCACAGGAGAGATCCCTAATGAGAGGACACTTGCTCTGAAATACTTGAAGTGCACAGTTGATCGATGAATCATCTTGAGAGAGAAGTCAGAAAAACAATCATCTTAGTATGAAATTCATTCATCAGTGATTTCCTATAGTGAGTTTCCCCTAAATCTAATTCATTCTTGGCAGAAATATTTCAGTGCTACAAAATTCAAAAGATGTCAGGCTGCCATTTTTAAAAATTTTGTTTTGTTTATTAAAATTATTGTAAGACAATCAAACATTGAAGTTCTGGGACATACAGAGATGCCCATTCTGTTTTTCCATACTGCCTTGGTATTTGGCAAAGTAAATTTGACTTTGACAATATAGAGCTGTTATTTTAGTTCAAAAACACTTTTCACTTGATTATATCACAAGTTGTGTTTGACTTCCAATCTCTCTGTCTCTGTCTCCCTCTTCTACACATGTGTTTTTGTGTGTAATTTATGGTTCATAGCTTAGTTTCTGGAATTAAATACATATCTACATCTTACTTAACTTGCGTTCTTAAATTAATTTAGGTATCTATAGTTTGATTTCCCAATCTGTGAGAAAGAGATAATAATAACTGATCAAATATTTTGAGACTTATCCTAAAAAATGTATGTAGAGCACTTAGAATAATATCTAGCTGATATCAAGTACTCTATTAATATTAACATCTTAGATGGGAGATTCTTATAGAGAAATAATGAAAGGAGTTAAAAATAAAAAAGAAAAGTTTTTTAGAATAAGAATCTTGAGTACATTAGAGCAGTTACAGGTTAGTACTCATAATTTTCTGCATTATGTTTGCTGCCACTTAATATGTTTGCTAACTCTAAAAACTTATTCAGTTCTTTAGCTAAACAGTTTTTCTTAGATATTTTCATATCTTCTTCCATGAGAATGGGAGGATTCTATAAATATCTAATAGGTGACATTTATAATGGTGTCATTGTTAAGGCTCCAACATTTATCTAAAATTTTGACAGAAAAAAATATATTGTTCAGAGGACTTGGTTAAATAATCTAGCCTCAGTGGTGTATCCACCCATGTTTAATGAGAAGGAATAGAGAATGGACATGTTGTTTGGGTAACCATGCATCCTTCCTTGAATACATTTTTGTGAAAGTGTCTGTTTTCCAACTTTGGGAGTGAAATGGACAATACTGTTCTTTGCCTTTTCTTTCAAAACATTAGTGCATGGCTATTTTTAATAGTCTTGGCCACTTGGAACATCAGTCTTTGAATTTAGAGTTTTTGACCAGAGAAACCAGGAAAACCATCTCTAACTCAGATCAGGGTTGACATTTGTTGTCCAACAACAGCACAAAGAGTATACAAGGGCAGGAACAGGATGTTTCTACCAAATAATTCCTGTGCCCTATCACAGTTGTATTTTCTGCTCCTGTTTTGCAGAAGCTACTTGTCTGGGTTTTATATGATTCTGTAAACTTTCCACTATATTTCTAATAAATTCAGTTTTATTATTCCCGTGTTTTATGTAAGTAACACTTTTGTTGTATGTATGAATTCCCCACTAATCCACAGCTAGTGTGACAATGATGACCTCATTTAGAAGGGAAAACTACAGAAACAGTGAGGCTCGCAACTTACAAGACAAGAGTTCAGTGTAGTGTCTAAATCATTGATGGAATGGAACAGTAGAGTTTTGTAGAGAGAAAAGAGGCTATATCAGTGGTGGCAGGTAATGTTAGTCATTGGCCCTGTAACTATGGAGAATGTGACTGGGGTTACCAGCAACTCAGCTGAGCTTAACCATTACTGAGCTTCAGGTGGAGCTGCCAGTTGCAGAAGTTCTTGGAAGGAACAAACCTTTCCAATTACAAGGGTAGATTTTTTTAGTGTTATTGAAGCTGTTGAGTTAACCTAGGGAGTTATAATCAACACTCTAGTGAACATTTATTGAATGCTTTCTATGTACCAGGTGCTTGTAAAAGCATTTTACATATATCTTTTCCATATTGAAAGAACTGTAAAAGGAAATAATATTTTAATTTTACAAGCTAAACCAAGATGCAACATAAACATGTTGAAGGAGACAAGTCTTTGATTAGAGCCAGGGAGGGCCCCACACTTTAACTGCAAGCATAGGAAACTACATCCTTTAGGAGGATGTTAACCTCTTCATAGCCTTCATTATTTTCACTCATAATGTTCATCAGTCAATAATTAATACATGATTTAAAACCAAGTAGGAACAAATCAAAATTGGTCCAATTTTTGAAAGTAACTTACAGAGACTTTAAAATTATTGATAATAAATTTGTTTAAGAAAGGGAACAGGATGGGACATTTTACAAGAAAACTAGAAAATGAACAGAAAAATTAAAACTGGCTAATTAGCTCTTACTTAACTAGAGGATAGTTAAGAGAAAATGCCCAGAAAGAAATAAAAAATATGTTAAGGACCTCCCTGGTGGCATAAGGGGTTTAGATGCAACCTATGAAGCTATCCACAGCCTCTGCAGCATGAGTTTGATTCACGGCCAGGAAGCTACCCACATGGTGCACCAGACCTCTCCTGACTCACCCACTTCTCCCCTAAACAATGTATTTCAGTTAGTCTGCCTGTCTGTTCCCCACTCTGTCTCTGGTAAATATTCTCATCCCTAACTCCGGCCTGTACCCCAGTTCTTGTATACATAAATAAATAAATCTTTAAAATAGATATTAAAAAAATATTAAAATATTAAAAAAAATGGAAAACTACAGCAAACTGAATATGATCATCAATATATTGTAAGTGCTAGTAATGCTGTACCAATTTTTTTTTGAAGATTTATTTTATTTTTATACCAGAGCTGGGGTATAGGCCAGAGGCATGGAGGGTGAGAGAATTCACCATAGGCAGAGCAGGGAGCAGAACAGGCAGACGACAGAAACACACTGCTGAAGGGAGCAGCGGGTGAGACAGGAGAAGTCTGCCGCACCATATGGGATTCTCACCGGCCGGCCAGGATCGAACCCATGCTGCAGAGGCTGTGGACAGCTTCACAGTGCGGCGCTCAACTTGCTGCACCACCGGGGAGGCCCTGCTGTACCAATTTTTAAAATAGAATTTATGATTAAAAACTACCCATAGTAAATTTTGGGCCCTGAAATTTTCAATGATGAACATCAACTACAAACATTCCATGAATTATCAGAGAATAGAAAAAGAGAGGAGCTCTTCCAAAATAAATGGCTTGATTATAAACTCGAAAAGGACATTTGAAGAAATGAGAATGCCAGGAATTCCAGGTCAATCTCTTTCACAAATAGACAAAAGGAATTCCCAAACAAAAGCAGAAGGAAAAGCAGTAAAGAAACAGTTAAATGATCTCACATAATTTCCAAGTGAGGTTCATTCCAGTAATACAAAGTTTGTTTAACAAAGCAAAAGTCAATTAATCTACTCCTACATATGGAGACATAATTTTTAAATCTATATGATCATTGCAATTATTCAGTATTAATATTTGATGCAATTAAATTAGTAAAATGAACAAAACGACACTAAACAATCCATAAAATAGGACTGAGTATTCCTTAGTCTGATAAGGGTGTCTTAAAAAAATACAAAAATTTTGTAATTCATTGTGAAATAATGAAAATTGTATCATGATTTCCAGAGCAAGACAAGGATTTCCATTATCTATTATTTTAAACATATTACCATATACATACACAAACACACATATACACAGACACAGTAAATACTTGTTTAACATCATTGATGGGAAGGATGTTTTTTGAAAACCTGCTGTAGATACACACACACACACACACATATTTTCTCTACATATATATTTATAATTTACATTTATATAAAGATGACAATGATGAAACATTTTGAAAATCACTAAAATACTTATTCTCAATGTTTCCAGTCACTAGAATAATGTATGAATTTTTTGATAATAATTTTTCCCAGCAGACTTATGAATTGATGATTGGAAACTCTGTATTTATTTATCCTATAGTATACAATTTCAGGGCTGTATTATAAAATCAAATTGCCTAAATGCATAGTTCATCTTTAATCAAATTTCCTGTTTCATTAATTTTCTTCAGAGATCCATATGCATTAGTTAAGTTAAATGATGGCAGTGAATAGAGGATTATTACAATTTTTTTTCAGAGGATAATGATTTAGCAATTTACACGTGTAACAATTTTATTTTCTATGCTTATATTTTAAACAGTATATCTAGTCTTTACTTTTGATAAGCAAATGACAAGTTAAAATTTAATAACCTCTATAACAACCTTCAAAAAATGCATTCCTAACTATAGGAGATCTGTGATACATTCAAACTTTGTTTTTCTTCATTTGGCTTAATGTTTTGCCTTTAAAACACAAACTTCCTATCACTGCTACTGCACATTCAAAACATAATGGTATTTGACAGTAAATACATAGCCTCATCAAATCACTTATCTCTCCATGCTTCTGCAGTAATATTGAGGGAATCTGAATAAATCACATCTCAAAGGGTACAGCTGCTTTCAAACAGCATAACTAATGAATTGCCTTGACTGGAAGAGAGCAAGTAATGTCTTGCATTCATAATCTAAGACAGCTGACAGGCCAGTGCTTGATTTGAATCAGTCACCATAACTAATTACAACTTGAAAAATTACAGCCATTTTTTATGCTAATAATTACTGAACACCTAGTAGCAATACCGTAGAAAAAAACTAGATTGCCAGACAGTTTACAGTATAGTGAAGTAATACAATTTGTACTGACAGGCAGGTCCATATTGTTATTTTAATATTTGACCTTTTCACCCAAATTAAAAGTCTGGTCATGGGCCTCCCTGATGGCTCAGCAGGTTGAGTGCAGCACTGTGAAGCTGTCCACAATCTCTGCAGCACAGGTTCGATGCCAGACCTGCTAGGGAGCTACCCATATGGCACAGCAGACCTCTCCTGTCTCACCCACCGCAACCCTTAGAAGTGTCTTCTGTCCGTCTGCCTGTTCTGCTTCCTGCTCTTTCTCTGGTGAATCCACTCACTCTCCCATGCTTCTAGCTTGTACCCCAGTTCTTGTATAAA